TGGCCAAACAACCACGGGTAGCCTCCTTCGCCTACATGGCCGTCGGACGCGAGGGATTCCAAGTCCCTCCCGAACATCGACTCCGGCTGGAACGAGCTAGCGAGGCTTCGGGTGAGTTCGGCATCGTGGAGCTCTTCCTGCGCAGCCTTTTGGCTCTGGCGAAGGAGTACAGACAGTGGGAGGCGAGGACAAACCTGCCCTGCAGGCCGACGGCTGACGAGCTGCTGCGCTTCCAGAGCGCGACGTGCTGTGAGATGTGTGGCGGGCCCTTCGGCGAGGAGCGAAGTCGACAGAAAGTCCTGCATCATGCTCACGGAAGCGGCAGGTTCTTGGCAGCGGCTTGCTGCTTCTGCAACTTGAAAATAAAGCTGCCCCAGACCATCAGCGTCTATTTTCACAATGGCGCTTCCTTCGACTTTCACTACATTCTCCGCTTCCTGGCCTACGAGAGCGGCTACGAACGACACGAGGACTACGTTGCCAACTTCTCTGGCCGCGACCTCGAGGACTCCGACGCGGAATCGGAGGAAGACGTCTCCTGGTTCGAGGATCCTTGGCGCTGCGATCTTTCGAAGGTTCGGCTGGGCGCCCTGGTGAAGAGCGGCGAGAAGTGCTTGATGCTGGCGTTCGGGCCGCTGCGCTTTGTGGACTCCATGAACTCGTTCCCGACCAGCCTGGCCTCCCTCATCGACGACTGCAGAGCCGCGTGTGTGGGAGGAGATCCTGCGGATGCCTTTCCACTCCTGAGTGAGCGTCATCCGCTGTTTGCTGCGGCGGAGAGGCAGGCACATCCGTGCTTCATGGCGGTGCAGCGGACGGTGCCCGAGTTCCGCGCGAAGGTGTGGCAGCTCTTGCTCCGGAAGATCCCCATGCCCTTCGACGTCCTCACGGATCCGGGATGCTGGTCTTGGGAGGCTCTTCTTCCGCGCGAGGCCTACGACAACACGCTCACGGGCGAAGCCTGCTCCGAGGAGAAGTACGATTCTGTGAAGGAGATCATCGACTTCTTTGCTTTCAAGACCTTCGGCGATTTTCACGACGCGTACCTTTGCACGGACCTCGCGCTGGCTGACGTGATGGAAAGGTATCGAGACACGTTTTGGGAGCACTTCCACCTGGACCCCTGCCAGTACGTCACGCATGCATCCGCCAGCCACGACGCGATGCTG